AGCAGAGTGGGGGCCAGGGCCCCCTGCACAGGAGCAAAACCCGCAAAAGGTGAGAACAGTCTGAGACACAATCACTTTGAAATGTTATTCAAACTTGTCATTTTCATTCCTCTCCCAGGAATCAGCAATTGAGCTCATATTTGCTGCTTTTTTCACCACGGCTAGTGCTAGCACCTCTCTGATCCTCCTGCTATTGAAACACCCGTCAGTGATTGAAAAAATAAGGCAGGAGCTGATGTCCCATGAGTTGTACCAGCAGAGTGAGTGCTGCACTGCAGGACCCTGCCTGGACACTCTGACCATTCAGAACAGGGACAGAGAGAAAACACTTTCCCACCCCATGGCCCAAGACATTCACAAGGACCAGAGCCAGTCCCCAGCCCCAGTGGAGGAAGATTCCCTCCAGCCCAGTGCCCTGATGGAGGCCACTGTCCCCAGGAGCAACCCGTGCCCTGGCCCCCAGCTCCCGGCACCACCAGGGCAAAGCTGTCACTGCACCGCAGACATCAGCCTGGAGAAGCTGAGCCGCCTGCGCTACCTGGACTGCGTGATTAAGGAGGTGCTGCGAGTGCTGCCCCCAGTCTCAGGAGGCTACAGGACGGCACTGCAGACTTTTGAGCTCGATGTAAGTGCCTCACACTCTGGCAGGCTGCTAAAGAGCTGCTGCCTGCCATTGTGAGCAAGCACCCCGTGTCCCACACAGTGGTGGTGCTTGGCAGTGTGGCTCAAGGGGAAGTGTCACCCAGCAACCTCTGTGGGTCCCAGCTGGGCTGGGGAGAAAAGGAACTGTAGAGCCAGTGGGCAGCGCAGTGGGGCTGTCTGCGGGCACCCTCTGCTCACTCTCCAGTAGCACAGGTATGTAACAGTCCTCTCCTCCCTCTTCTCTCCCTTCTCCAGGGCTACCAGATCCCCAAAGGCTGGAGCGTCATGTACAGCATCCGTGACACTCATGAGACAGCTGCTGTCTACCAGAGCCCCCCCAGCAGCTTTGACCCAGAGCGCTTTGGTGCCGGCCGGCCAGAGGCTGCAGGCCGCTTCCACTACATCCCCTTCGGTGGAGGGGCACGGAGCTGCCTCGGGAAGGAGCTGGCACAGGCCATCCTCAAGCTGCTGGCCATTGAGCTGGTCAGCACGGCCCGCTGGGAGCTGGCCACCCCTGGCTACCCCAGCATGCAGACCGTGCCCATCGTGCACCCTGTCGATGATGGGCTGCGGCTCTACTTCCACCCCTTGCAGCCCAGCCAGGGCCATGAGGCCTGAGCCAGTGAGGGGTGCACTGCTCCCCTCTGCCCTGGGGCCGATGCCCCTCCACAGCTGCCAGAGCAGGTCTCTGCTCCCCAGGCTGGGAATGCTACTGGCTCACTGCCGAACAAAACCTTAAAGGTCTTTCTGCTTTTCCTCTCCTGGTGTACAGGCTGGTAGGGTGTGCAGGCTGCTGCAGTACGGTGTCCTACAGAGCACTCCTGAGCACTGGGACAAAACCTGCTGAAGCTGCTGGCAGGCTGCATATGCCATGGGGGCTCAGTCAGCCCCTGCCCTATACAGGCCCCCAGCTACCAGGGATGGGGAGCAAAACTCCCAGACCCACAGCTAAGACTCCCAGGGTTATCTCCTGTAGGTGTGTTATAGGAGAGGCAGGACAAACATCCTGCACACTGTAGCTTTTTAGATGGAAAAAGAAGGAAGGTAGGGGCTCTGCAGGAAAACACAAGCCAGAGTTGCCCAATCCCAGCATCAACTCTAGCTAGAATAATAGGGTGTAAAGTGGTTTTTATTGTAAATATTTAATCTCCTTAATGCACTTCCCATTAGAGCTGGCACAAAGAGGATATATTCACCCACTAGTAGTAGCTGTGTATGTTGTGCTTTTGCACTGTGATGCTGCTTGGAGTCTGCCATGAAGCCATCTCTGAAGTCCCGCAAGGATATTCTCCCCAGTCACAGCCTGCCCATGAGACTGGACTGAAGCAGGGAGGGGGGGCTTTGGGGAGCAAATGTTTAGAAAACAGACATTTCTGAATATGTCTGATTTGTGGTAGAAAGTCCCTTATTCCTGATTATGCTGTTCACATAGCAGAGGGGACATTTGCAAGGTGACACAGGCCCTGTGGTAGCTGGCTGGCTGGCCAGACTGACTGTCACCTCTGTCAGCTCAGTTCTGCCAGGGAAAGTGTCAGGACAGCAGTTCCATGCGTCCATCCAGGGGGTGGTACCTGAGGCTAAATGTGGGTGCTGAGCGCACCCTTTTTGATGGCTTTTGAGTACCCCTACAGGGTATTTCTCTCCCATGTAAAATAAAATTGAGTCCTGTTGTTTGTGTACTGAGAACAGAGCTGGGCTCAGGTCCTTGATCCACAACGTGTTTATATGTTTCTTTCAGCTTCACTTCTACTCCCCACTGTCATGGATTCTGTGTGAATGCAGTGGGAAAATAATCCTCCTTGTCCCTCCAGAGCATCCCATGCCTGGTGGTGTCGTGTGCTCTGTGGGAAGAACCAGCTTGACCTGTGAGGGCCAAAACATGGCACGAAGACAGTGTCCCTGTCTCCAGTCTCCTGAAACTCTTATCATCATCCTGCTTCGGTGCTAGAGATGGCCTTGCCCTGGCCAATCCCCCTTGCTGGGGGACTGCAGCAGGGTGTGTGCTGGCATTAACTGTCGGAGGGCTGTGCAGCGACCACCACGCTACCCCGGGCAGAAACCTGGCTCCCAAACGTGACAGGTCAAATCTGGAAGAGGTTGAACTGCAGGGCTGAGTTAAGTGCTATTGGCAAGTCGACCCTGTAGTGAACCAGAGCCTCTGGCCCTCCTGACCTTGTCCTGAAAGGTGAATTTTTTTGCCTATCAGAGGTGAAATCAGTAGATGGTGGCTGCAAGTGGCAATGACTAACTTTAATTAGCAGGAGCTACTGGCTGGCTGAGACCACAGGCGATTCAGGGTCTCACCGTGGGCAGGGCTCGGGCAGGGCTGGGCCTGCAGCGTCCAGCACCCTGTGCAGGAAGGTCAGGGCTCCTCCAGTAGTGCACTTAAAAATTACCCTGTGCGCCAACAAACCCGCTGAAAAATGTAACATAAATCCAGTTTAAAAGAAAAAAAAAAAAAAAGAAACAAAAAGAAACTGATAAACTGATTTTGTTTGCGGATAAACACAAGCATTTACAAATGAAGTGTAATAATTGTTACTTGTAATCAAAGTTTGTTCATATTAGGCTGTTAATTTCTTGACCCCCTTCCAAGATGTTTTTAATTATCCCTTTCACTCTTTACCATTTGATTCTTTTCAAGCCGATGGCTGGGGAATACACAGCTGGGAAGATAATAAAGCCTTCCTGTGGCAATTATCGGTGCTCAGGCCACCGTATCTCGTTATTTTGATAGACAGTGAACTTGGCGCGGTTGCCGGCCGGGTTCACGCAGATGTCACGGTCCGTGTTGTAGGTCACAAGCAGGTCAGCGCCCGGCAAGGGGAGAGCGCCGGGTCAGGGCGCGGCCGCCGCTCCCGGCCAGCGCCGGCCGGGCCCCGCGGAGCCGAGGCGAACCCCGAGGGGCTACCGGCCCGGGGCCGGGGGAGCACCCTCCGGGGGGTTCCCTCCTGGGCAAGGGGCTGCGGAGGCGGGCAGCCCCGCTCCGACAAGGCATCGTAAGAGGAGGGCGGGTCTCGTGTGATGAGTTGATTGTTAGAAAAATAATAATTAAAAGTGACATCTCCCTCTCCCCTACACAGACACACACACAAAACTTCCAGCGTTTATTGAGCTTGTCTGGGAACAAGAAAGCAAAAGCAGCAGGGAGGGAAAAGATAAAAACCGCAAAGGAAAAAAAAAGTTGGCAGCAGCCGTGGTCGGCGGAGAGCTCCGCGCCCCGCAGCCGCGGTCCGCGCCGGGCGCCCCTTCCCCAGCGGCCGGCGGCTCCTGCGCCGGCACCAGCAGCACCCACAGCCAGCGCAGCCCTCCCGCAGCCCCGCTCCCGCCGCGCTCCTCCTGCCCGGAGCCGCCGCTCCCGTCCGGAGAGCAGCGCCGGTGCCCGCCCGCCAGCGCCGGTCCCTCCGCGCCGCGGCTGCAGGCGGGGTGCCCGGCCGTGCCGAGCGCCTCTTCCCGGCCGCGGCAGCCCCGACGGAATGCCGGAGAGCCTCAGGCGAGGGTGGGCAGTGGATCCGGGGGAGAGGAGCTGGGAATGGCGAGTTTGGTGTTTCCTTTCCGCGCTCACCTTCTCTTCCCTCGGTGACCCGCGCTTGAACCTGCTTCGGGAGGTGAGACGGACTGCTGCCGGCGGCTCCTTCCTCCACGGCCGGCAGAAATACAAGCCGTGTCTTTCGAGGTGAACCAGGGGCCAGCGGAGGCTCCTCCGCCGATGCGCCGGCACAGCTGCGGCTCTGCTCATGGGGGTCTCCGGGCTGCCCCAGCACGGGGGACCGTCCGCTCCGGCCGCCCCACGGTCCCGGCCCGGTGTCTCCCGTGTCCGGCCGCTACCTCGCCGTTCCCAGCCGACAACGGTGGCGGACGAAGAAGCTCCGCAGAGCGCATCGGCGCCGGGCGGCAGCGCCGCGGGGGTAGGTGACTCCGGACAGCCGGGCCGCCGGGTACCGGCGCGGGAATTTCTGGGTGCAGCCGCTCTTCTCGAACGAGCATCGGCGATAAATCCGAGGACGAAGAGGCGCTGGTGGCCGATCACCGGCTGTCAGCTGTCGGCGGCGTCCCGCAGCTCACTCGCCGAGAGCGGTGCAGGGTCAGCGAGCCCAGAGCCGCTGCCGCCGCCCCCGAGAGCACCTTTCCTTCCCCGGCAGCGGTCTGCGGAGCGTAGGATGCACTACGCAAAGCAAATAGTTAAAGATTTCGAGGGGAGGAGCCAGGCAGCAATCCGCAATTAAAGATGAACTTTGGGTGAACTAATTTATCGGACCAAGGTAGGGGTGGGCAGCAACCTGGGAAGGGTATAAAAGGCGGCCCGCGGCGAGCCCAGCCCGCGCACTCAGAGCTCCCGGGGGGCTGGGCGGGAGTCGCTCCCCAGTCATGGGCTTCTCCGCCCTAATCGCCAGCGCCCTGTGCACCTTTCTGCTGCCCCTGCTACTCTTTCTGGCTGCCGTCAAGCTCTGGGACCTGTACTGCGTGAGCAGCCGCGACCCCAGCTGCCCGCTCCCGCTGCCCCCGGGCACCATGGGGCTCCCCTTCTTCGGGGAGACGCTGCAGCTGGTGCTGCAGGTAAGGCCAGGCGATGGCGCGGGGAGCGGAGAGGCGCCCCTCTGGAGCCAGAGCTCCTCGGGCTGCAGGGGAGGGAGATGAGCGGCAACTTTGACAGGCTCCCCTGCCCAGCGCGCCCAGGTGGGAAAGAGCTGCTCTCCCTGCCTCTTCCTCTTATGCTTTCTAAAATTTATTTTATCATTTCCTCCCTCTCATCCCCTGTCTAGAGGCGGAAATTCCTGCAGATGAAACGCAGGAAATACGGCTTCATCTACAAGACTCACCTCTTTGGGCGGCCCACGGTACGGGTGATGGGCGCCGAGAACGTGCGGCACATCCTGCTGGGCGAGCACCGGCTCGTCTCCGTGCAGTGGCCCGCCTCGGTGCGGACCATCCTGGGCTCGGGCTGCCTCTCCAACCTCCACAACGGGCAGCACAAGCACCGCAAAAAGGTACGGGCCGACGGCGGGCGGGGAGCGGGCGGGGTCGCCTCGGGCGCGGCGGCTGAGCCTCTGTCCCGTTCCTCCTCGTCCCCCCGGGCAGGTGATCATGCGTGCCTTCTCCCGGGACGCCCTGCAGCACTACGTGCCCGTCATCCAGGAGGAGGTGAGCGCCTGCCTGGCACGGTGGCTGGGCGCCGCCGGGCCCTGCCTGCTCGTGTACCCCGAGGTGAAGCGCCTCATGTTTCGCATTGCCATGAGAATCCTGCTGGGCTTCCAGCCCCGCCAGGCCAGCCCCGACGGCGAGCAGCAGCTGGTCGAGGCCTTCGAGGAGATGATCCGCAACCTCTTCTCCCTGCCCATCGATGTGCCGTTCAGTGGGCTCTACCGGGTAAGGCTCTCGGCGGGCCAGGAGGAAAGAGGTGCCCCTGCAGCCGGGGCACGGGGGGATCAGGGGGGAGGGATGGCAGTACTGTCCAAGACCCAAACTGCTCTCCCTCCTGCTTGGTCAGGGCTTGCGGGCACGCAACATCATCCATGCCAAGATTGAGGAGAACATCCGTGCCAAGATGGCCCGCAAGGAGACTGAGGGGGGCTACAAGGATGCGCTGCAGCTGCTGATTGAACACACACAGGGGAACGGCGAGCAGCTCAACATGCAGGTAAGGGTCCTCAGGACCAGATCAATCTCTTTCCCTCAGGCCCTCTAAGAACATCACACTTGCCTTGTGGGGACAAGAGGGAAGAGCAGGAGATGCTCTCTCTCCCCATGAAATAAACCAGCTGCTGTTGAGCACTAGAGTGCAGAGGCTACAGTCAGGCTGTTGGATGGGGAGACGTCCACAGGGAGCATAAGCACCACCAGCCACTGCCATCTAGGCCCCTGAGTGTCTGTTCCAGTTTGGGAATGATGTACAGCATAGCAGTGGTTGAGTGGGCCTGGTAGAGATACTGTGTTCAAGGCCTGGTTTATGCCTCTTCTATCCCTTGTGTAAGGAGCTGAAGGAATCTGCCACAGAGCTGCTGTTTGGGGGCCATGAAACCACTGCTAGTGCTGCCACATCGCTGATCGCCTTCCTAGGGCTCCACCATGAAGTCCTGCAGAAAGTGAGGAAAGAGCTGCAGGTCAAGGTGTGTCCTCCCCAGAGGCATTTCACAGGAGGGGGCGGTGGGAGGAAGGCACCTCCAGGACAGGTATCCCAGACAGGGCTCCCTTTGACCCAGTGGTGCCCTACTTTTAGGGGTGGCAGGAAAATACTGCTTATAGCTGAGGGGCAGCTGCTTTGCAGTGCCAGGAGCTCTGGCTGCATGGTTCAGAATGTCATGGCAGCATTTTCCTTTCTAGGGGTTACTTTGCAGTTCCAACCAAGAGAAGCAGCTGGACATGGAGGTCTTGGAGCAGCTGAAGTACACAGGCTGTGTCATCAAAGAGACCCTCAGGCTGAGTCCGCCTGTTCCTGGAGGATTTCGGATTGCACTCAAGACCCTTGAGCTAAATGTAAGCAAGGTTTGGGTACAACTCCTCAGAGCAGCTGCAAAGTATTTTGTGTTCATGCAGCCTGTCTGCCTTAGGGTGACCCGCAGGAAGCCAGGAGGGGAGGTGGGGTGCACTGATGTGTCCTGTTCTGTCACTTCACATTATTTAACACAGCAAGGTGTTCCACATCTCCTTTCTGTTCTTTTTTATAGGGTTACCAAATCCCTAAAGGCTGGAATGTTATTTACAGCATCTGTGATACACATGATGTGGCAGATCTCTTTACCAACAAGGAAGAATTTAACCCAGATCGCTTCATGTCTCCATCTCCAGAGGATTCCTCTAGGTTCAGTTTCATTCCTTTTGGTGGGGGCTTGAGGAGCTGCGTGGGCAAAGAGTTTGCAAAAGTCCTTCTAAAAATATTTACAGTGGAGTTGGCTCGGAGCTGTGACTGGCAGCTGCTGAATGGACCTCCTACAATGAAAACAGGCCCCATAGTGTACCCTGTGGACAATCTGCCTGCCAAATTCATAGGTTTCAGCGGTCAAATCTGAGAGCTCAACACTTGCCTCCAAATGGATTTCTATATAGCATTTAATATGTACATAGTAACTTTTTATAGTAACAAAGGCCTTTAAATATTTAAAACTTGTAAATGTACAATAGTTATTTATGTCTTCTAAGTATTTCAAGAGGCTATGATATTTTTCCCCCCAAGCACTACAATTATGGGTCTCTGATTCATAATTAGATAATGTTATTTCTATAGAAATAAGTTTTCCCCTATTTAAAAATATCATTGCGAGCTGGCCAGCTAAGCATTTGAAGACATTTCAGGATGGTGTATGTATAAGAAATATCCGAAAAGCATTCAAAACAATGGTAACTAGCTACTCATCCAAATTACCTGAAGTGGTTATTGTCTGAGAATGTTTTCAGTATTACTTGTGTCTAGATTGTATGTTTAATGTGTGAATTTTAAGTTTGATAATAAAGTTTATTTTTGATGATCCTCTGTATGAAGATCTGTGTGTATGCTAGAGAGTAACTTAATGTATGTGGCTCTAGGGTTTGGATGTAAAGCCAGATCTGCTTCTGTGAATGAGGCATTTGCTATTTTTGTGTTCGTAACTCTTCCCTCCTTCATGTGTAGTTGCTGGTGAGTAGTTAATTGTTACAAATTTTAGTTTGTAAATGCAAGAACAGTACAAAACTACATGCTCGAAAACTGCATGGAGTGATGGCAAGTGCCACAGGTCTCCTTATCAAGCACATCATGTTGAGCCACAGTAAATAAGAAAGAAAAGAAAAGCAGAATCATGTCACATAAGTCTTTCTCTGGAGCTAGTTGAGGAAAAAAATCCATAAATGTCCTCTCCTCCCATATTAGTGCTGACCTGTGTAAACACACCACTGAATCTTGTTCTGTGTTGAGCTTGCTGGCTATGAATCTTTACTTAGGAAGGTGTCTCTTATCAGCTGGTAGAGCAAATAAAATCTGCTTATTTCTCCTTGAAATGCAACAGCTCTGACTAGGTGAGAGATAGCGCATGCATTTGGTTTAAGAACTTCTTTCCTGGAATTCAGCAAAGTGAAAACTAAAAGGCAGGCACTAATGTGAATTGATTAACAGAGAATCAACTGCTGAGATGCAATTCCCCGGGGGTGTGTAAGCAGGGCAGATAAAATGCCCTAGGCATGACCCCTATTTTGGCTAAACCATAAGGGGTTTTGTGGCCACCCCAGCTTACTACACCTATTAGTCTTCCCTCAAAAGTCAAACAACATAGGCTGGCTCTATAAACATCTACAAAGTAAACCAATGTAATTCAGTGTCATGAGCACTTGTAGCACCATATAGAATAATTACATTTTTTTGTTTACTTCTGGGAAACCGTCACTTTTTTATTATGTTCTTCCAAGATCAAAATTAAGGACAAAGCTAAGTTGCCCAAAATAGCTACAGGTGCTTAATAGCATCTATGAGGTTTGGAATTTTTTAAAGGGGTGTTTCTATAACACATTTGATATGTTTCCAGCTAGCATTTTAAACACAGGAGCTTCTAACATAAGGCTTTAGATACAGCCTACATATGAGCATAACTATCAAAAATTTTCTGTATTCAATTTTTTGTAGCCCCAAAATACATTAATTTTAAATTGTACCTGAGTCTTCTTGACAATGTTTAAAATCTTAAATATTTTTTCCTGTGCAAACTTCTTGTACTGTTATGTTTCTCAGGGACTTGACGAATAACCTCAGTTTAAGAACTCTTTATTACCACTACAGTAGTGGAAAATTGCAAACCTTGATCCTGATTTGGAGGTGCAGCAGGACTCTTGTCTTGGTATTCTTTACTAACATTTTCTTCTGGATTCTCCAAATCCAAATAGATGTTGATATTCTTTAAATGTTTTATTTGGTTTTAATTAAAATCTTTTATATGTGGGAACTTTTTGCATCGTCTTCATATTATTTTAGTTTATATTTTATTTTTATAAAGAATGGGAACCTAAGTGCTGTCTGGAGAATGCAAACACTTTCACAGTGTAAGTCTAAGGTCATACATGCAAGTCTTTCATTTTGGTTTTGAGTCAAGTTTGCATGGCTTTTACGTGAGAAGAAGAAAAAATATCATATACTTAATTTGATTTTGTCTGGACATCTGGGGGCACATCCTCAGCTGCTGTAAATCATGACAACATAACCTATGTTAGGTACTGCCCCTGTAATAATTTATCTCTGTAGCTAAGCAGTCTGTCACTGCTGTGCAGTTTAGGCATCCTGGAGCCAGCTTTAAACAAGCCAACCTGAGAAATGGTAGCAGCGCAGCTACAGTAAAACGGAGCTCAGTGTGGGTTAATTGCTAAAATATTTGCCCAGCTTCTTGAGCAGGTTTTACAACCCCTGCTAATCTCCTGTTGCAGCTGTATTTTGACAGCTTGGGTGCTGGCTGCAGACCAGGTTCAGGTGAGCTCTGCTGTGAGCGCAGCTTTGCCTGCTCAGCAGAGCCTGGGGTGGGCACATGCTGAGGCCGTGGTCGCTGGTTAGGTGCTGCACCCCCTGCTCCCACCTCTCTTGTTATGCTGGGTCCAGAAACTGATTTTATTGAAAAATTACCTATCAAAAAACTGATTGCTTTTTGGGCAGACCGGGTCCTCATTCCAGCTCCCCACATGAGCATGGTTTGTGCTGGGGTGCTGCACCGAGACAGAAGGAAGGGTATTTCATATTCCTTCTCTTGGTTAGCCTGTTATTTAAAAGGAAAATGTTTGACCAGGTCTCTCTTCGAAAAATCACACACAACTTAGAAGGTGCTGTGCTTTGGTCCTGGAGCAAAAAGCCGTGATTTATATGTAGCATGCTGATTCTTCCCCGAGGGTAAGGTGAGTTAATAGAACCCACGCTTCTCCTAAAATCATGCGAGTAACAGCTCCTGCCGGTCAGCAGCACCTCTAAAGCTTAGAACTTCTGAACTATCTGTTACGTTCTGAATGTGTTGCTCTTAACAACACAGAACTGTATCATTCTTCAATTAAAAGGACATTTAAGAATTACACTGATGTAAATTGGCATTGAGGAATGCTACTTGATAAATCAATACTTGATTGAAAGTCCAGATGAGGTCAAAACAGGTAAAAGTGAATTTTGCTTGTGGTTATATGACTAAGAAAAAAAATGCTGATGACTTATTGAAAATGATTAAAAATAACTTAATTAGGTTGATTTATTTTGTCCTTGTGAAACAAAGACCTGTTACTTGCATGTTGTTTTCAGCAGTTGAGCTGGGAAAGATTTTCTTTTGTTATGGTTCATAGAAATACCTATTCAAAGGACAGTATAATTTGAAGTCTTGTGTGCTTAAGGTTTTGAACCTACTTTTATTTTATTATTTTATTTTATTTTATTTTATTTTATTTTATTTCCTTACAGGAGTCTTTTCCTGGACCTTGCAAGATGAGAGGCTGACAAAAAGGCTTTCCTTCTTTCTACCCCATTTCAATCTATTGTTTGTTTTCTTGTTTTATTCTGTTCAGTGATTTAGAATTAACCTTTGGAGAGGTACCAAGAAAAATACTTAATAATACGTAAAATACTTCATCTTTGACTTTCAAGTTGTATTTTCCTACATGCTACATAAAGTTTTAAAAAATGTTTTTACAAATCTGCATCAAGCCATCTTTGAGAACAGAACACTGCTGTTTTTTGTTAATTCTACATATCTGCAGAGGTTTTCAGGGTGGATGCTGATAAAATAGTATGCCTGTCTTTTAGAAACTAATATGTAAAATTATAACCCTGGATCCAACTATTTCTTTCTTCTTCTTTTTTTTTTTTTTTTTTTTTTTTTTTTAATCATTGAAAATGATTTTATGAGGTATAAATTCTGAAAATCTGCCATCTATCTCAAAGGGAGCTGTACTGCTTAGACTCCCTGAAAATCCAATATTACTTTTGATATAGTCTTAAACACAGATTAAATAGCCCATGTGCAAGCAACCTATTGCTGAATTTCTTTACCTGAGAATTATTGCATATCATCTTTCCTAGAACAGCCTAACAGGATTATATGCAAGACTACTGGATCTTTTACAAGGCTATGCAGGACATTTGCAAAAACCAAACTAATATACTGACTTTTGCAAAGATTTAGGAATTTTAAAATGCAGACACAAAGCTTGTGTTTGAGATACACTGCTGGTATGCTCCAGGCCCAAATTAGTGAATTTATTTATGGTTTAAAGGTACTATGTGACATGTAGTTGTCCTCTATTATAACAAAAAAGAGTGGGGTGGGTTTGGATAGCATTTAATTGAGATAGTTTTGTTTGCCAGGTGGTTTGTATTGTAATTTCTCTGTCAAATTATACATCCAGCATGCAATGCAAAACATATACAGATTAGCAGCAAAAATTCAAAAAGTTTATTAGTTGCAACCATTAGAGTGATAGATTAGGAGAAAGGAAATGTAACTGGCAGCAAGTTTAGAGAAGACTCATTACTAGACTGGCTTGCTTCACTTGTTTAATAATGTCTTACAAAAAATGTTATATGAGAAGTTCAATGAATAATGCAGCCTTCATTAAGTTATGTAAATGACTGTAGCTTCGTGGGTGGGTGAAATATTTAACAAATGAAATATTTAACAAATCTGTTTACATCCAAAGAGTAAAAGCAGCGGAAACAGCTTTTAAAGAATCTGAGATTTAAATATTTAAAAGGTGACAGACAGAACTTTCCTAGTAGGACATAATAGTGCTGTTTTAATAGGTGTTTACAGCTTGCCTCCCAGTTGCAACATAGGCAGGGCAAGATATTAAGTATTCTCAGTTAATTAAATGTTATTTGTCCTTTTATCAGCAGTCCCAACATTGCAGTTTCCCTTGTACGCCCTTAGTGCCGGAGACATGCAGAGCTTGTGTGATTTGCAAGGCTGGAAGGATCATTTTAGCAAAAGTGACTTATGATGTCCTTGTTTGCCAGGTCATTTTGTTCACAAATACACAATCATTCATATGTTGCTAGATTTCGATGCTTTTCTTTTCCCCAGTTTATGACCATTTAGGAAAGCCTTGGAATTCATGGGTTCAGACCACGCTGCTGTGCAGGATTACTGTCACAACATGAGAAAATTATAAACTCAGGACTAAATCTGGCATAGACAACATGTTCTCCTACCACA